ATCTATGTAAATAATATCAAAGTCTATGTAATGAACAAAACAGAAAGAACATGACCAGAATCTTGGTACATTAAGAAAAACATCAGAGAAGTATGGCTTAACCTTTAACAAAGAAAAATTGGTAGTAGCAGTGGATCAACTTCAATTGTTGGTTATCAAATGAAAGGTAAAGAGATTATGCCCAACACTGAACATTAAGAGAACTATGTGAAACTTTATCACAAAGCTTAGAAAAGAATTGTGTAATATTTTGCATACTACAAAATAATTCGGATGAAATCCTGAAACCAAATAGGAACACATTTCCACTTCCAAAAGATATCAAGAAATCATTCCAAGAGTTGAAGAAAAAAAGCCTGAAGGAGTTGTAGTCAGTACCATTGATGAAGATAAACTTTTCCAAGTGAAGACAGATGCATCAGTAATTGTAGAAGCCTTGTTGAGGTGGCACTATTACTCAATAAGAAAACCCTTCACGCTAGAAACTCACCAACAAATATTATTATTATTTTCAATTATAAGAAACAAACCATCCAAGAATGATAAGCTAAAACTTTCTTTTGAGAATCTTTTACAAAAACATTTATTAATGAAAGAAAGTTACTAACATGTATTCTTTAAATAAAAAACTGCTATAATGAAATCAGATGATTAATAAAAAAAAATGGTTTGAATAAAATTTGAAGCATAAAAATTTGTATATGTGAGGTTCAAATTGATGTAAAATAACCCCCAAAATGAAACCTGACAGTTTATGAAAAGATACATAAATTTGATTTTAAAACTAGTAAAAATAAGAAGCTCATGTCCAATGGTTTTAAAACCTGCCTAAATAAAGTTCACAAACAGGCATGGTTTAAAGAGATACATTTGTGATTTTTTTAACTAATGGGGAATGTAAATTACAATCCTAGGTGTAATGTTCTTAACTGGGTTTTAGTAAGAAAAACGAAGAGAGCAATATATCACAGTAGTAGTTTATTGCTGGTCATAAATAAAACTGGTGACTAACTGCCAGAGGCCATAACTGTCCCCTAACTGATCAACCTTAAGGGACATAACACTACATCCCTCTTTTGGTCATAAAGTCCTTTACAAGGTGAGTCTTTTAGGTGGTCAGACTATCAGACCGCTTCCGATCAGAAACATTCTCTGGCCTAGACAGATCCATAATGGCATTTACCTTTTCTGGATCTATTTAGATTCCTTCCTTTCAGATGTGTTCCAGAAACTTTATATTGGTAATGGAAAATATACATTTATTACTTAATGTGGCTCCAGCTGCCTTCATTCTTTAAGTACCACTTTTAACCACTGGTAATAATCCTGCTGGTTTCATCCGCTTATGAGGACATCATCTTTATCACAGATGACCTCTGGTATCCCAGACAAAATGTGTGTCATCTCCCTATGAAAAATTAGGGGAATAGATTTTAAGGCATCTGGAGATGTTGATTGACATTTTAATATTTGGAGATTATAGCTATCAGGGAAGCAAGTAAGAGGAAGGGAGTTCCACAGGCAGGAAGTATGAGACTTGAAGCTATTGGAGTAGAAGAGATGGCTACATTTAACCATTTTGACAGTGAAAGGGTGGGACCGAGATGCCAACCTAATAGCATGTTTAAATTCATGCAGTTTGGGAACCAGCAAAAGTAGCTCATTGGAGCAGTTACCATGAAAGTATTTGGAGAAAAGACAGAGGGAAGCAATGGCACATCTGTGAGAGAGTGACTGTAAACGAGTTGCTAGATCAGGGCCAATCACATTGCATATCAGTCTCCAGATCTTGTCGAGGACCTTAAAACAAACAACAGGGGCTCCAGACCATATACGGCAACAGGGGCTCCAGATCATATACGGCAACAGTATTCCATGCAAGAGTGAATGGTTGATTTATAGATTTGAAGGATGGGACTTGGGTGAGAAAAACTTTCTGGTGCAACACAAAGAACCAACTTTTCTTGCAGTAGATGAAGCTATTGATTCAATGTATTTGTTCCATCTCAGGTCAGTGAACAGTGTGAGACCAAGCAGGCACAGAGAGGTGCTCTCGTGGAGTTGAACATCAGACATTCTAATGGGAGGCAGGGAGGGTTCTCTGTGGTGGGTAAAAGAAAGCAGTTTTGTTTTTGAGGCATTAAAGTTAACCAGCCATTTCTAAGCTTAATAAATATTGTGGCTTTGTCAACTTCAGCCAATACCTGATCTGTGGTGGGTAGAGGAAATTTCTCCCTTTTCAAGCTTTCATTTAGCTTGGTAAAGTCAATACACAATCTGACTTTACTTTTGCCTTTTGGGACAGCGACTATTGAGACACAGCTATCTGTTGGCAATTTCACAGATTATGTCCTCCTTCTCGAGACGTTTCAGTTCTTCATGAACATTCTGTTTCATTGGTAGTGGCAATCTCCTAGAGGCAGCAATGGAGAAGGACTGAACCCTCCACATCCAAACATATCTGGTATACATGTTTCCCCAGTTCTAGGAACTCTTTCTTGTAATGGTGCCCTTCACTTCTGACCATATTAACTGCTTTCAGAAGATTGAGAAATTTAATTGCTACTCCTCTACATAGTGGTTCTTTCAGCTTCTATACAACATACAGGTCTTGTTGTCAGCTGTATTTTTTTCCATGGCCAAAGTGGCCTCCACACATCCAATGACCTTTATTTCATGATGATCAGGTCTATACAGTCTTTTGTTTGTTGCTTGGATGAGTGGAGAATTTTTCCAGAAATGCCAGTCCAGAACTAGTCACATCTTCACCTGTATCTAGCCTAAAATTGATGGTTTTGGTACAAACTTTAGCAGTGACCTTGACCATAGCCTGCCAATTTGGAGTATTGTACTTGCTGATGGCATATATAAATTCTGTAGCAACTGAACCTAGAAAGTGTAAAGTCTCCTCTTCATCATTCATTTCTCTCACTTTTGCTTTGTCATTCCTGCAAACAAATGCATAGTATCCACAGATTCTGCAGCGTGCTTCTTTTGCTGGGCCATCATTCCTATTATGAAATGGAAATTTCCCACAATATTTACATTTGTTGGGTATCGTTTTCAACTGTGTTCACTGCTTGGAAAAATTATTTTTACAGTTTCTCTGAGTTTCTGGTTAATGTGAGAGTCTGCCAAATCGGCACCAGAGGAAATGGTTTGAGTCTGTTGTTTGGATGTATTGTGTGCTCTGCCTATTTGCAGGCACTTGTCTAGAGTAAGCTGTTTATTTGACAGCAGCTTCTCTCTGGCATTGTCTCTGATCCTAACAACAACTTGATCCCAAATATGCCTATATTGTAGCTGCCCAAAATTGCAGTTCTTTACAAGTTGTTGCAGAGAAGCCATATAGCTCTCGATGCTTCTTGCTTTTGGAGATGGAATTTGTAAAACACATAGGCTTTGTGTGCTTCACCTACGAAAAATTCTTCAAGCTTCTTAATCATTATCCCATGCAGGATGTAATGTTGCCTGATGCCCTGCAATAATCTTATGTACCTCCACAAACATAAATCATGAGAGCCTTCAGCATACCACAGGTTCAACTATATACCCAGTTGGTTAACTCGAAGAAGGCACTATGGAAGCATGTCAAAGAGAACAAGTATGAATCTTCACTCTTCAGTGATCAAAGTAAACCGCAATACGCTTACTTACGGAAATCAGATGGAAGGAGGGAAAATACTTTTTCTTTTTTTTTTTTTTTCTAGAAGTTCGTTTTTAGCCGGAAGTAGAGTAAGTAAAACTGTTCTCCTCATTTTAGATGGGAGAAGGCGCTCGGTCCCGGGGATTCCAACCCTGCAGCAGCACCTTCCTCAGTTTACTAACAGAGGTGAGACGTGACAGCAGTCGGGAGAACTGGGCAATTTTTGTCCTTGGCCCAAATGCATAACGACCTTTTGTCACATACCCACTGAGGCCGAGTTTGGCATCGCTTGCAGAAGAACAAAAGCAAGAAAAACTAAAAATTTCGTATAAGAAAAGAACCCTCAAGACCACGAAACGAAATATGAAAATGCCACGAGCACAGTCGATCTAATGGAGAATAAAAAGACAATGAAATAAATCTCTGGAAAAGGTAACAATTTGTGTACATAAAAACATTCGGTCATAAAATAACCCGGAAAATCGTAGTTTACTTATTTGAGCAGAAGGAAAAGTAGTGAAAGTATTAGCGACCCCAAATTAATAACATTCACAACTGGCTATGCATCTTTTGTGCGTTATTATTTTAAAAAAAAAAAAAACTTTTATTTATAACTTTTATTTTTAACACTTTCTTAAGAATTATATACTAAGTATTTAATTTACTGAACTGTTTGTGTGACTTTCCAAATAAACTTATTCTTTTGATTTCTGCATAAAAATGCAATCTGATTAATATTAATTCCAAAGTCCAAACGAAATAACACTTAACACTAAACCCCTTTAAAAGGTAGCTACAAAATTGTGGGCAGAAGAATGTTTAGCTGCTTTATTTTTAATTAGCGACACTAAAAACCGTAAAACGGAATGTTCGCTAATAAATGCAAAGAAAGGTCATTACTTTTTCACTCACGCAATTACGAAAGTTTGAAAGATTTCATCTATTGAATAGTTTATTTTTAAAAAATTGAAATTTATTAAATATTTTTCTTTGTTTTATGAGTGAAGTTGGACCAAGCCAATTTAAAATTATAAGAATTTATTTTATTCAAATTACCACTAAATTTCTCTGAACAATTTTTTATTGCATAACAAGCATTTAATTTTGTTTCCAATTACTTAATATTAATGTAAATTTAAGTTTTAAAAACTATGATTGGGACAACAAATATTTTTACATGCCAATTTTTAACTAACATAACCTTCGTCTGAATCTCTATTCCTTTTTAAAATAATCATAGTGTAAAAGTGTTTTTTGCTTTTAAATCACTTTACAAACATACCATCTAAAAGTTGCTTAAAACAATCGTGACCTAAGATAAGCTACACAAATAAGTAAAAAAATGTTAACTCACTTCTACGAGAAATTTTCCAAACATTTTGTAATCTTCCAATATTACACATGCGAACAGTTGCCATTTTGACTAGTGCCAAGGGCAGATAACTGAGATTACCTCTTTTTATTTTTTTAACGAGATCAAGGCTATTTTAATTTTGATTGACTGGCTGTTTATTTCAAGTACTTTTTTTTTAATCTCTGATATTTGAAGTTTATTTACAATTTCTCACATCATATAAGTGGAGTAATAGAAGTTTGTGCAATTATTTTTTTTTTCTAAAAGGTTTACATTCTTTACAATTTATCTTCTCGACGCAAGCTATCCGAAAAGCATCTAAAAAAGGAAGAAATAGCTTTTTTTTTAATCAGAAATTTAACAAATGAATTTGAAACCCAAAAAAAAATTCAAATATTTACACGTAAGACTAATTTGCAAAAGTTTTTCTTGTAAAATATTTTCTAACTAAAAGCCTACCCATCTATTTTTACTCTTGAACTCAAACCAGGCACTTAAAGAAAACAAACGTAAAATAAAAAAAACGTGCATAACGTCAAAATTTTCATTTTTTAAAGTCCAAAATATAATTTTGAAAGAATATTTTTTTACATTTATTGCCATTTAAAAATTATTTTTTGATAGTTGTTTTTCTGATAAAAAACGGACATATTTTCTCTAAGATTTGAATTATTTGTGAAATAATTTCGTACTTACGTCTATAGTACAAAATTATTGAAAAAGATTTTTTTTTTTTTTTTCGTGGAATTAGCACCTCCAATTTTTAGAGAGGTTAATTAATACTTTCTGGTGAGACAATATTTCATAGACTGATATTTCTTTTTTATAAAAACTCAAATTATTCTAAATAAAATTTAATTTCTATTTTAATGTTATAAGATGACAGAGCAAAGATATAATCCATCGTTCGATCAACAAAATCTACAAGAAAGTTGGGATCATCACTGGTTTATAAGAAGACTAATTTGAAAGAGAGTGAAACCACATTCTCTCTTCCACATTTCCAATCTTCGGCAGTTGAAGAACTATATGAAAATATTTACGATGAATTATTTTTTTGACAGAAGGAAAAGTTTGTTACCAACATTTCAAATGCCAGAATACACAATCAACAGAAGAAAAGGTAAATTAAAAATATTTTTTTTATTTTTAATTAGGTCTTACATTTTTCGATTTTAACATGTCGTTTCCAGCGCAAAAGATTTGGTTTAACTAACAGTTTGAGTTAACTTATCATTTTGCAATCGTTTTTACTTAGTAAGTTTACTTTTTTAAAGTGTTTGTATTAATTTTTATCTAAGATATTAAAAAAAATAAAAGCTATGTTTTCTGGTTATTAAAAATGCTATGTTTTTATTATAATATTTGATCTTCTCCTCCATGGTGTGTAAACATTAAAGAACAACTTAGTTGGACAGTTTATATTTTTTTAATTTATTAATTATTATTTGAAACCTGTTGTTGATAATAATTACAGAAATTACTGCAGATTTACAAATTTTAAAAATTATTAAATAATTTTTTAAGTTTGTAAACCTGTTTTTATTTACTTTATCTTTTCTTCATACAAGTAGTAAATTATTTTTTTTTAAATTTAGCATCGCTCACTCGAATTTTAAAGTTTTCATATGATTTATTTTATCAAAATCGGAATTTTTTATATGGGCACACTACCAAAACTATTTTATTTTTGTGTGTACTTGTACGATTATTATTGACTTTCGGAGGAAAACTATTTTATCTCAAATTGTTTGTCTCGTTAGAACGGATGATGACTTAAGGAATATTTACTTTCATGCTATTTTTCAATTTCTTACCGAGTTTTTGAAGCATCTGTTTTCTACATTTTTTTTTTTTTTGCGATAATAATTCATTTGCATTACCTATTTTGAGAACTTAAAAGTTTTTATCTTTAATAAGCGACACTTTTGTTTTTTTTAACTAACATCTACCATAAATATATTTTGAAGGAAAGTTTTCTTCTCATTTTGGTTGTTATATTCAGTTTGTTTTTTTTTTTTTGTTTGTTTTTTTTGTTGGCCGTTTTACTTTTTCCAGTCTTTCTTTTTCATTTGTCTGTAATCTTTTCAGAATTTTTAACCTAATGCTTTATTATTCAGTCCATGGAGGTAGACTGTTCATATTCTGCTTCATCAGTCAATAGTACTCAACTTTCATCTTTTTTGTGTTGGTTGTTCTTCCACTGAACCAGAGTATACTACCAGACTTGGGATTGAACTTACAACTGTCACAAAAAAGCCACGTGTGTTTTCTAACGAAGTTGAAGTTTTCACTGCTTAACATGCACTGATCCATTCAGTTATCTTACTCTCCAGTATTTACTATTAAACTTGAATTCATTCTTTTATTCATTTTCTATGTTTTAAATCATTTCACCACAAACAAGAGTCTTTTTGTTACAAGACACAAGTGGTGACTGAGTGTGAGAGAATATAAGAAAAAAAAATCATTATTAAGGAGAAAGAACAATAAAAGAACGGGAATTAAGAAGACAGAAGATAACGATTGATATTGCATTTAAATTTTTGAAGATAAAGTTGACTGGAAAACAAGAAGGCCGGAAGAGAGTTCCACAAGTGAGAAATGCGAGAGAAGAAACTGTTAGCATAGAACCTACGGTTACATTTAGCCATTTCAACTATAAAATGAGACCTTGCCGCCAATCTAGTACTGTGAACTCTAATTTTCATCAGAACAATTATGAAAGTATTTATATAGAAAAGGCATAGGGAAGCTATGTTGCAGCAGTGATAAAGTGACTGAAGTTGAGATGTCAGGTCATGACCAATAACATTGCAGACTCTTTGTATTTTTATCAAGCATCTCTAAATACATAGCAGAAACACCAGACCTAATGTGGCAGCAATATTCAGTGCATTAACAAATGGTAGACTTATAAATATGTAAGACAGATTCTAGAGATAAAATTTGTCTTGCATTGCACAGTGAACCAACTTTCCTAGCAGCAGACCGGGCAATTGATTCAATATAATCTTTCAACTTCATGTCAGAAGAAAGTTTTAGCCCAAGAAGGCACAATGAGTCACTCTCCTGGGGGTTAGTATCAGCCATGCTAACTGAAGCCAAAAATGGTTATCTCAGACTATTAAAAGAGAGCAGTTTCGTTTTGGAGCTTAAAATTAACAACCCATTCCTTGCCGAAGTTAATAACAGATTCTAGGTTATTTTTGAGAGCAGCTGCCAATTTGACCTTATCAAACTAATCAGACATACTATTAAGACATGGGTAAATACTTGTCATCAGCATAGATTATGAGTTGAAAACTGATGATGTCAGGAAGGTCACTGATGAAAATTAGGAGCAACATACATCCAAGGGTAGAACCCTGGGGCCACCTGCATTAATATGATTTGATAAGATTGAATCAGTTCAAAAATTTGTCCAGAAATATAACCTTTCAACTTGTGAAGAAGACCAGCATGCCAGACCCTGTCAAATGTCTTTGAGATATCTAAAGCAGCAGCCTGAGCTTAACCATTCTTATCTAAAGCTTCATAAACTCTTTTAGCAATAATCTTACTTGTTATAAAACGCAGATTGTGTGTGTGTGTATACGTTTATATATTGGATCGGATTTCCTACATTTTTCAACCGATTTCAACAAAACTTCACAGGACTGCGTAAAATTACCTTGCAGTGGTTCTGACAGTGCCAAAAATTGGAAAAACACAATTGTTTTTGCACAAAATCAATTTGAAAACACAATTAAGAGGCATCGCTGTTTCGAGAATGAAAGGGGGACAACTCATATCGAGTTATACTTATTATAAAACCCAGGTTGTTTGTGTGTGTGTGTGTGTTCATTTATATATGGGATCGGATTTCCTACATTTTTCAACCGATTTCAACAAAACTTCACTTTTTTTTGGCAGGTAGTGTTTCTTATTGTCTTGCACACTTTTTTCTTTATTTTTACATTCAGAATGCTTTAAAAATTCCATTTACAAGACAGTTGTTTATAATAAAATTCTATTCAATTGATAGACTCATAACAATTGAAAACAATGTTTTTGTTTGAGTTTGGGTTTGACCAATTCGTAAAAAAAAAAAAAAAAAACTAATTAAGACATGCGTGTCCATCAAACTTAAACAATAATCTTTGTCAATTTTATTTTTCAGTCTTTATGATGGTCGATACTTGATCTATCTCTTACTGTTACATCCCCGGGCAACGCCGGGCTCTACTGCTAGTCGTTAATACATTAGCAGTTTACCTAGAGAAATGAAAGCCATATTGTTTGTCTGAAAGAAGATCCTGCAAGGTGAGATGCTTAACCAATTCAGAGTTGATTAAAGCCTCTTGTACTTTGCTAAAAAGAGGTAGAAGGCTAACATGTTGATAGAAGCATCTGAGGTTTCATCTGAGTTCTTAAAGACTAAAACTACGGAAGAGGATTTACAATAAGCAGGAAAGCAAGAAGCAGCAATGTATATAGTGTAAAGTTTAGAACAGGAGTGAGTTCAAGAGCACATTTCTTCAGGACTATTGTAAGGATACCATCAAGTCCACATGCTTTGTGGGGATCCAGTTTAAAGATGATAGCAGAAATCATGGATGGAGTTATATACATATGGTGAACATCCCCGTAGAAGCAAGCGAGCTATAGTGGCTTGCATCTGGTGCATAGGAAAATAAGGATCTTACCTTAACGTGTGGCACGTGACATTGGCAAGTTTTTTCCATGAAAATGGCATTACTCTCCCATCTAGCAATTCCAGCAGTATGTTACCACGATGGTTTTTGTGCAGTTTGGCATGCATTCACCAATAGCAAGTCGTGTGCTGATTAGTCAAACTGGAGGAGGCTATTTGCCTGGGTAACTCAGAATATAAGTGAAGAACACTGATTGGTTGGTCGATCGCTGTGTTGGCCTGATAAAAAAGGGCTGAAGCAGTGAAAACGGCAGAACAAAAATCGGATTTATGTTGTGAGGTGTTCAGAAAGCAAGAACGGCGAATTGAATCAGCGGTATCTTGTTTTGTACAAGTGACGTCATAGTAATAGACTCATTTAAACTACAATACATATCACTCAATAAAGACTCAATTGTAAGTGGAAAGTCATGCAAAGATACTCCAAATGAGTCAAGAGTAGAATTTGAAGAGAATTTATGGAGGAAACATTCTGCTTTATCAGCAGATGCTAACACCTGAATTTGAGTGAATAGAGGAGCGATAGATTTACTCTTATTTAACATACTATCACTGAACCACCAATAGTTATGAGAACTAAATTTGTTAGAGGTTATACGGTGCTTCATTCTGTCAAGAAATGAAGACTTGTCCTCCTTGAGGACATGTTTACAATTATTATGAGCAGATATGCCTGTTGTGATTGGAACTATTATGCTGGTACAGCCAGAAAGTGATTCCTGTGGGCTATAGTGGTTGAACAGGCAGGTATGAGCCAAGAAGATTGTGGTAGTTGGTACAAAAGTATTGACACCGACTAACTCAAAAAGAAACCTGTGTGGCAAAATTCTCAATAGGAAGGTTAAAAATATCAATCCAGGGGGCATTTTGAATAGCCACAAAATGAATCTCAATCAGTGTGCTGGTAACAGAAGTCTTGTAATTTAAATGCTTTTTGATTTAAATAAATGCTGACAATGTTTCCTGTTTCTGCTGTTTGGATTTGTGTTGTAGTTAACTTGCTCAGCTATTCAGTGAACTGTCATTTTAAGATTAATTGTTATTCATTGCTAGTTAACTATTAACTATGGCTAATGCTAATTATTTTGAATTTGTATTCTCTCATTAGATAATTGAAGCAATATAACAATTCTGCTTTAAAGGATAATTTTGTCTAAATGTTTATTAAGACATCCTCTAATCAAAACTTGAATTTTTGAAGGTGAAGAACACATTGCAATCTTTCTATTGGAGGTTTGTCTAATCAGATCACATATTTTCATTGTCTAGTCTGTTCTCTTTATCCTGATTAACAGATAATTTTGTTAATATTAGGTTGGTGCAAAAATAATGTCGGTTTTTGACGTTCAACTTAACGTCAAAAATGACATTATTTTTGCACCAACCTAATATTTTAATTTGGTGATGAAATAAGACACTTTCAAACTTTTCCTTTTTCACTTTAGATTCTACAGAAATAAGAATTGTTTTTGATTCCAGTATCATTTTGGATGCCAAAAAACATCTTTATATGCAATTATTTGTAGAAAAAAATAATTTAAAGAAAACTCATTTTTGCTGGCAAAAATTTATCTTGATATTACTGCAATACAGTTCTGTATTATGATTTCACAGAAAGGACAACTATTTCGTAGTTTTATGATGTTAGACCTGCCATTATATTATTACTATAATTTTGAATATTTTTTAGTAAATATCATTTAAATTTTCTTTTCCAGTGTCTTGTAAGTAATTAAGAAGGTGCAAATAAAAATGAAGAGAGGCCGAAGTTCTGACCGTCAATCAAGTTCCAAGAGAGCAAAGAGGTCAAAGAATAAGGAGGCATCTAAAAACAATTCTGAGATTGAGAGACCTATTGCATTACCTTCTCGCAGAGGGGTAAAAAGGGCTGGCCCCTATCTTTTAGGCAAGTGTCTACTTTGATTTATTTTGCTTTTTGAAAAAAATTTATTTATAAAATGTTTTTTTACATTGTATATTTTTATAATTTATACATATTAAAATGCTTACAAATCCTGTTACAGACTTCATTAAAATGTTGGATAATTTTAAGAATGTTGTATGTACATCATTGTGGTTATTATTTATTTTTACTAGGTCCACGTTTAGGCTCTTCTCCAGTTCGCAGCATTGTTCAGTGTCTTGCTAGAAAAGAAGGCACAAATGAATTTTACACATTAAAAGTAAGTTCAAATTGAATTTTAAAATTCTAATAATTTAAGTAGAAAGACATAAATACAAGAAAATGTCTAACTCAAAAGTTGAAACAATATCAGTATTAATCATTTCTGATTGCTTAGCTACTAAGTTATTGTAGGGAAGAAAATAGTGACTTACCTCGTCAAACCAAGCAACAGTGTGCCATGTGTATCTTACGTCAGAAAAGAAAGTACGCACATGACTCTTGTTTATATATGAGAACATCATGCCAAAATTTTGGTTGCACCTCGACCAATCAATGACTTCTTGACCTCGTTATAAACAGATGTTGCACATAACCAGAAGATTGTCTCTGAGTCACTAACCAGTATGAAGGAGAATTTCTTGAGACTCGCAACTGCTGCATCGAAGTTTATCCCCCCAAAATTTTACAAGCTATTTTGGTATCATGATAGATAGGACATTTGACATCAAGTTGATACTCAAATGTGATGGCTCAGTGACTGGATAAGCAGTGGATAGAAAAATTTCTTGAGACAAGCAGCTGCTGTATCAAAGTTTATCCCCTCAAAATTCTATAGTTATTTTAAATCAATCTCTTTAGGCAGTAAGGATTGCATTTGCCTAAAGTCACATAAAAATTGCTGAATTGTTTGAACTGCTCTTTTCATCTTTGATTTTAACACAGTTACAGCTGTTCTACTCTCCAACTACTTTAAATAGAATTTCTCCAAAATTAATATCATTCATCCTATAGGCCTTGTAGATAACAGTATTTCTGCTATCAGTTTTACTCAGCCTTTTGATATTGTGAGCATTAAGATCAATTTGTTCATAATTGCAATAAAATCTTTAAAAAGCTCACAGCATGTGATGTGACAGTTACCTGACAAAGGCTGGAGAAACAACCATTTTAAAAGCAAAAAAAATTACATTACTTCAGATACAAAACATGTTAAAAATATTTCAGTTTAAATGGAAAAATTGTTGATAGAAGCTTTTAATGTTATGGAAAAAATAAATCTCCATTTGAGGTGAAAAAAATATGCTGAAAACTCACAGAAAAGTAACTTTTATGTTACAATATAATTAGGATGGAGCCTTAAACGGTTTTTATCTTAATTGTTTCTTTATTTGTGAATTTTTGATAAATCAGAAATGACTTAATATTAGACAAAAAATTTTTTTTACTTTCATGGGAATTGTTTTACCTGCATCAAAGTGAAGTGTCATGAGGTATACTTGCACTATAGGAAAATTAATTTTGGTAATATTAAAAAAAGTAATTTTTATTGTTTTTTTTTCTATACATATATATTTAACAAAACCCTTTTTTGATTTAGATCCTAACATTAGAGGATTCATTACATGCTGACCAAGATGATCACCAAGGTAAAATGCTGATGCACACAGAGTATTCCCTCCTTTCTTTGTTACATAATCAGGATGGTGTCGTACATCATCATGGCTTATTCAAGGTAAGAATTCATATCTAGTGAACTGACTTGCTTTTAATTTAGAACCTTTAAAATTTCAAAGCTTTCAATTATAAATATTTCTAGAAGAAAATAAATAAACAAAGTGACAAAATACATGCATATAAATTCATGGAGTTTGATATTTTAACCTGAATTTAATCAGGAGATTTATTCATGTTAATCCCTTGTACTTAAGATATGGTATGTGCTTGTTGAGATGTTACTAGATAATCTAACTCCATGATCCAGTTTCTGATTAATTTGAGTTTATGAACATTATACGTTGGATTATAAAAATTGTATCAGCCACAAGAATCAGATGGGACTGCTCAGCAACCTTGATATATCCAGGAAAGATATCAGAATAATCAAGAACGTATACTGGCAGCAAACAGCATACATGCACATAGAGAATTAGTTCAGCAAATATGCAAAAATAGAAAGAGGCATAAGGCAAGGATGTGTCTTCTCACCTGTTCAACCTATACATGAGGCAATTCTGAGAGAATTGGAAACCCTACCAGGATTTAGCATTAGCGGCCACAATCTTAACATAACATACACAGATGACACAGTACTGATAGCAAACACGGAAATGAAATTACAAAATTTCCTACAGAAGGTAGCAATGGAGAGTGAGAAGAGACTAAGCAAGATGGAGTTCATGGTCGTCAGTAAGTGGATGAGCTCGAAATGTGATCTGAAGGTCGGGAACACTAAAATCAAGTAGACGTGGAAGTTTAAATACCTGGGAAGCATCTTGACAGAGGATTAAGTGTGACACTGAGATTTGTAGGCGTATTGGGATGGCCAAGGACACATTCCAAAAGTTGGGCAGAGCAATGTGAGACAGGAGGATATCTTTGGTAACAAAGAAAAGCATACTGAACTGTTATGTGACATCTGTCTTTTATAGCAGGGAATGTTAGACGATTTCCTCAAAGATGAAGAAGAGACTCTAGGCGACAGATGTGGCTCTACAGAAGGATACTAAGGAGATCATGGACCAAGCGTGTGAGCAACAATGAGGTCAGAGAGGTTGCAAACAAGGAGGAGGCTTATACTTAATATCAGGAAGAGGCAGCTGAAGTTTCTGGGACACATAATGAGGAAGGAGGGCCTAGAGAATCTGATACTCACAGGTGGAATAGAGGGAAAGAGAGACAAGGGGAAAACAACGCATGACATACCTAGCAGACTTAAGAAAGTGGATGACAGCACGTGCTCTAGGAGAGGAACTTGTTGAGAGTTGCAAGGGATAGAGGGAAGTGGAGAGCCATGATCGCCTATGTTCTGAAAGGACATTACACATAAAAGAAAAGAATCTATATCCCTGTCTATAATGAATCAATTTATGTTTGTGTATGTGTGCGTTTTGTTAATATAACGGCAAAAACAATACTGTTTAAGTGTTCTAACTCAAATAAAGCAATTTTCCAGTTCAGCTTGCAACTTAATAATAGATGTGTCTGCATTCATGCTAACACTAATAATCTTCTAATTTACTATGTATATTACAAAAGCTTAAAAGAAAATTGCATCTACATTGAAAGTGGAACTGGTTGATTTGATTTTTTTATGGCTTATCAAGCCTTTGTGGGTTATTCAAAGCTGAAACATTTTGGATTCTAAGAACAATAAGTGAGTGTTACATTAACAACTTTTTTTCAGATACAAGTCTTACTATTTAACCCATAGGTTGGGAGATGAGATTTATTAATTGCTGAATAAAATTATGGAATAATGCTAAAGAAGTAAATTAGATATTTTTATACAGAATATTTAATATTTTGCAGCTATAATGATTTTCTGCAGCAATTACTAATCTTTTAATTTCTTTCTTTTTTTCCTCGTCATGAATATTTTCATACAAAAACAATTTTTCCAGGTTTAATGATATATCTCCAAAAATTATTTGACACTATATTTATGATTTGGGAATAGAACTGCTAAATCTAACTTTTAATTTTAAACATATTTGGAGTTTGACTAATTACTTAGTAGGTCAACTTTTTTTTTTACTTATTTATTTGCAAATAGCTATACGAAGGGTACTAAAAACTTTTAGGAATGAAGAAATCCAGATGGTGCCATTCTCACCAAGTAGAATGTCTCCACACTCTCTCTCTCTCTTCCAGACTATATTTCATTTTGGGCTTAACCCTCATTTTCCTGCTTAGAATTAATGTTTAACCACCTCACAGCCTCAGTTTCACAGTTATATATATATATATATATATATATATATATATATATAGCTGGCCACTTGTATTCGAGGATACTTGTCTACTAGGGCAGCTAGCCAATCTCTATTACAGACGCTTGCTCAGGCAGATTTGTGTTTATTCAACACCCACAGAGCCCACCTGTGGTTTATACTGCAACTATGCTAAGCAGAGCTTAGTTACAGTTTCTGGGAGAGGGCATGTTATCTAGCATGAGCAACAGTATGAACAAGACTCACACACTCACACCCTCAGTCACGATGACTTGTGATTTCATGCTAGCACAGCTATCGATGCCCCCCTAGTGTTTCATCAACCCAATTTCACTAACAAGGCTTGGGCCAACCCATGGTATGGTTTTCAGGTACTTTCCAGAGGTGCCACATGCTGGGATCGCCTTCTCAAGAGCAATACCATCAGGAAGTATACTTCCAGACAAATCAACTATGGTGAGATTCAAACCCAGGTCTCATGGTTAGAAAGTGTGGCGGACATGAGATAGAACCTGGGACGAGCACAACTGGTCGCGACTTGCCTTGTCCCCGCCAAAAAGAGCCCGTTTTTGCTTAGCATGTAAAGCTACTGCAGTTGAAATGAGGGAGAAAAAAAGCACTTACCGCTCTGACGTAATCCATCCCTCGGCCAGATAACATAAAAGAATGAGGGGGACTGGCATCGCATTTTTATCAATAACGAAATGCATTATGGGACATGGACGCAATGCATTATGGGACATGGACGATTAATGAATTATGGGATCACAGGAAGACGCAAATTATGGGTACATGAACAACTATAAAAACAACTACTTTTTTTCCAAGTCGGGAGTTCTTCGAGGGCGTTCACGGTTGACAGCTAGAACGGGCAGTTAGTGTGATTTGGAGACAGAACTCAGGAAGGAAAAGTTTGAAATACCAGTTGGGAGAGCTTGAATTTACTCGCTGGTTACTGTTTTTCTTCATTAAGCCTCAAGCTATTTATATTGATTCTTCAAAATGGAAGGCAAAGTCTTTGACGTCCGTTTGATTCAGAATTCAGCGCCCTCAAATATGCCCATTGTTGAATGGATAGAAAATGTGGAATTGGTCTGCGAACTTTGTGCCATGGACAAGATCGGCGCATCTTGCCTTTTACTTGGCGGTGCCCTGCTGTATATAGACAACTCAGTGGATTAAATTAAGAGACTGCATACGCACTGACAAATTTAATGCGTTCGACCAATTTATGGACGGCGTCTTCGCCAGGGAAACTGTGGATGAATTCCTGGCTGAAATGCATCGTTTAGGCCAAGCTAGTAAACCGCTACCTGATGGATGGCATGTGCATTTGTGTCAGGACTGCCACATCATGTTAAGGCAGCTTCTCAAAGCTTCTTCCAGGATGGACGACATGAATCTAGAACAGATTTTGACCGGCAAGGGCTATTAACGGATGAATGAAGGGTGCCAGGAGGGCCCGTCTAGAAGCTGAGGTTCCCCTGCCAAACCTGTTACAGATTACCTGCTACAAGGCTCTGGACCCAACCATATGACACAAGGACGTCAGGAGAGGTCAAACAGAACGGAGAGGTCTGGTCGCGACAAGCGGTGTTTTCGAAAACATTTTCCTCAGAATGCCAGGGAAACGCCCAAGGGAGAAGGCGTCAGCAGCCTTCTCCCGAACAAGGAAGCTACCCACCGTACAAGTATTTGTAGATGGAGTAGAGTGCACAGCTCTAGTGGATTCCTCACAGACTCTGGTGAGCAAGACTGTTGTCGCTGCTGGAAGCAGGAAGAGGTGGGAGGTTGACTGCCGGGAAGACCCTGAAGTGCCGTGGATGAAAATTAAGTTGATATTCAGCCCGTGACTGTTGAGGTTCTGGTCGGGAAGGGCAGTTGCTGATTCGATCTTCTTCTCGGGATTGATGCAATCAAAGTGCTCGGAGGTGTTTACTTGACCGAATCAATGAAACCTGAACACATGTGCCGCCATTGTTATCAACAAGCCTGACTTTAGAGTGACGTTTACCCAGCACAAAACGTGGACTGCATTGTGGAAGTGGGCGAGTGGTCATTCACCTAGCAAAATAAAGTACAATACACAGTACCTGGCCACGTCGGGATGCATACGATGAAGAACTATCGGTGGCAGGAAGACGGATGGCTACTGCCATATCCTGAAAAGCTTGGCCCACCCAAAGTTAATTCCAATGGCGGTTACATAAAGAACACAAACAGAAGGTCCGACCGGTACTTGACTATCGGGAGTTGAACCTGGCTTTGTAATGCATTCACGGCTGGCGCAGAGGTGTGTGCGCAGAAATTAAGAATGGCGACAAGGGAGCTGGCGACAATTGTTGGATTTGAGAAATGCGTGTACAGATTCAATTGACAAATCGCTATGGCCGTTTCAAACAGTGGTCAAAGGGCAATTTTTTGCCTTCGCTGGCGTTTGGTTTTGGCCTGAATGTGGCACCTCTTGTCATGAAGTCAGTGATCGACATGATAACGTCCCAATCAGGACATTAAGAGTGCCACGCGGCATTTCGACGATATCTTCATAAATGAAGGCCCTTTTCTGCAGCGTGTAAGACAGCACTTTGCAGATTACGGGCTATTGTAAAGATCCGGAGCGATTGAGAGAAACTAATTCCTGGGTCTGCAAGTCTGGGAAGAAAGCAACTCCCTTCGATGGAAGCTGGAGGTCAAGTTCAGAAATTTTCAAAAGGTGACCCGCCGCTTATTTTCCTTGTCATTTCCCTGTGCGGTTGGCTTAGGGTGGCAACTGCATTTTATTTTGTTATGCAAGCACACTAACCAAAGGATGGGACGAATAAAGGATGCCCCTCTTGGGCGTATGCTGGAGGAAACAGTGGCCAGAGTCGGGGAATCAGATCCTGTCGGCGGAGGAGACTACGGCAATGAAATGACAGTTTGGGTGGATGCAAGCTCCGTGGCCAGGAGTAGCACTAGGGTGAATGGGATTTGGAAGATGCTTGCTGGTTAAACCAATGATGCCAAATTTTCTTGCTGAGCTTGATCACGGTGATCAAATTGAATCTTGCCCTTTTTAGTGGCAGGCACCAGTTATGCATGTGGTCACCGATTCAGCATGTGTGCATGATTTTCTGACACCTGACAGGAAGGGAATTGAACACGAAGGCAGCGGGTGAAATGCTGATGAGGCGCTTTTGGTGGAGGAATTTCTTTTTTTTTGTCAGAACGCTCAGCCTCACCAATATTTTGGAGATGCACAAAAAAGGAGAACGGTGCAAGTTTTCACTGGTTTAAAGCGTCAGGTGACCCATTCACCAGCAAATTATTTAAAAGAACAATGTATTTATGGACTTTCCAACGGGAATAGAACTGGTAAAATCTGTCGTTAGAACCTGTGAAGCCTGCCAATCGATCGATCCAGCACCAGTGCATTGGAAGAAAGTTTGAGTGTGAGAAAAAACTGGAGCAGGTTAGCAATGGACAACCCATTTTTTTTCTTCACGCTCATTGACTGTTTCCCGTTTTGCAAATAGCGGCCACTGAGGCGGCAAGACTCTGCTGGTGTCTTCGTCAGCTAGAGACTTTCTATGAATGAAGCCCGCCGACCAGAAATACTGACTGACAATGACACCGTTCACACCACAATTTAGAATTTCTCCACAGCTGGGGCTGCATTTTTCCAGACTATATTTCTGGAAATTTTGGGCCACAACCCTCAAAACCATAGCTTAGGAAAAATTGTTCAGTCTTAACCGGTTTACTGGCACAGCCACCCCTCAGGACAACCTTTCACCTTCCAGGCATATATATATATATATATATATATATATATATATAATCTGGCCCTTGGGAATACAAGGAAGGATACATTGTCTGGGTTAAGACTCCGGGTAAATGCAGACCAAATTTGGAACGGACGTGTGACCGGTGGTGAGTCAGCAGTCAGTGCGGGTCGATGGAACAGATCATGTTAGAGACCTATTTTTGGGCTCGAATCCCACAACCACAGAAGAAGACACGGAGGATAGTGAACAGCCAATATACATAGAGTTGGATTCAACAACCAATCACTCCGATAGCGGTTTTGCCAATAGATCGGAGACGTGTCTAATGAGAGCTCCTCTGATGAAGAAATTCAACAATCCCCCCTTGGAGGAGCACCGGAACAAAGACCGTATCCTCACTGTCATCTGTGTGATCCGGAGATCAGGGGGGAGTGGCGGACATGAGATAGAACCTGGGACGAGCACAACTGGTGGCGACTTGCCTTGTCCCGCCAAAAAGAGCCCGTGCTTAGCATGTAAAGCTACTGCAGTTGAAATGAGGGAGAGAAAAAAAAGCACTTACCGCTCTGGCGTAATCCATCCTCGGCCAGATAACATAAAAAGAATGAGGGGGACTGGCATGGATGCAATGCATTATGGGACATGGACGCAATGCATTATGGGACATGGACGCAATGAATTATGGGATCACAGGAAGACGCAAGGGATTATGGGTACATGAACAACTATAAAAACAACTACTTTTTCCAAGTCGGCGAAGTTCTTGAGGGACGTTCACAGACAAATCTAGAGAACGGCAGTTAGTGTGATTTGGAGACAGAACTCAGGAAGGAACGACTCAAGTTTGAAATACCAGTTCTAAATTTACCATGGTTACTGTTTTCTTCATTCGCCTCAGAAAGTGAATATTCTAACCATTTGGCTACATGCCTATATATATATATATATATATATATATATATATATATATGAGGAGAATATGATATATAAACTCTATATCAGACAAATAGGTAATATAATTGCAAAATTAAAAAGTCGTATGAACAAAAACTTCTTCAGATTAAATGTTTTTATTGATGGGATTGGTTGAGGGAATAAAATACAAATAAACATCGAGAAAAGTGTTAATATGAATGGACACTTAACTTTAAATTTCATATTTCTGGTGGTCAATGTAATCAGGGTGTTTTTTTTTGTTTTTTTTGTTTTTTTGTTAGTATCTTTAATTTTAGCTTGAAATGTTTCATTTTAAATTATTTTTTAGCTATAAGTTTTCAAACTGGCACTATGAAAGTGCTTTCATAGATTAGCAGTAAATAGTAATGTCCAGTTTTCATAATAAAGTTCCTTTTACTAAATGGTACTAAATGATCCATTTAAAAATTATATTCAAATTTCATAATTTCACTCATAAATTAAATAAGCAAAAATTTATTTCAATACTGTTAAATTCTGTTACACACTTTATCATATTTATTAATAACTGTAAGTATTTATAAAAGAGTAAAATTACTTTTATATATTTTATCGGGTTAATTCTGACAGTAAGTAGAGCCTGATTAGAAATTGTCTACTTATCCTCTTGATAATTCTTTCAAATTTGATGAGTTGCCTCTGAGAGACACTCAGAAAAAAATAGACTTCAGCTGGTTTAGGCTGTAAATTTTTGTGTCATGTGTATATAACAGGGTTATAGCAAAAATAAGTTTTATAGAGCTATCAATTTTTAAATTGTCTGTACATGTTTTTTAAAGACCCCATTTATTATGGATAGGACCAAGCCCGTGAGGAGAAAGACACTTTGAATGCTAATGGCTATATTGAATACACTGGTAGAAAACGGAATCGTCTCTGTCTCGTCTTGGACTGTCTTATTCCCCACGATTTCAGCAGCAAAACATCTGATCTCATCAACCTTCAACATTATGTTATCAAAGAAAAAAAACTTAGTGAGAAGGAAGCGGTCATCATTTTTGCTGATATTGTCAGAATTGTGGAAAGTTTACATAAGGTGATTTTTTTTCTTTTCTCTTTTTTATGTCTTCATAGATTTTGTTCTTTGTTCACACTTAGCAGCTCTTATATTACATCATACCAAACTTTGTTTTCCGTAAATTTCCTATGTAAAAGCCTAGAATCCTTGATATTCAAAATTTGATAATATCATGGTAAACATGTCGTTTTATATAGCTATTTGTCTTCCTGAAAATCCTAATGAGATAACACAGCAGTGTTAATATTCGTTCATAATCTAGCTGCTTTATCATTTTTTATTTTAATTTTGTTTTTTCTTTTGTTTAACAGAAAAATATAGTCCATAGAGATCTGAAACTAGGAAACATAGTGCTGAATAAGAAATCGAGACGAGTGACCATCACCAATTTCTGTCTTGGAAAACATCTGGTTTCAGAGAATGATTTACTCAAGGATCAACGAGGCAGTCCAGCTTATATCAGCCCTGATGTGCTAAGTGGTGAGTTCAATAGAATGCTGTTATTTCCTTTATAATAATCTGTATTTGCATTTTATATTAACAAATGGCTTTTTCTGTTTGACTGACCTGTTGGGGAAAATTATCAGAAATCAAGAAAATTTTACTTGGTTGTTTAACTATTTTTATGAGAAATCAAAAGAGCTCATATTAGAGTTTCAGCTGTCATTTGCTTCAGATTTTATAAACAACAAATGCATTCTGGTATAAAAAGTATTTTCAATCCAATCATTATAATCAAACATAATTCCTATATGACTCGGTCAATTATGTGCCATGCGTGATAGACGCTTAAGTGATCACGTCTTTCAATACATGAATTACGAGGCAGATTTTTTTTCCTGCAGTAGGTTGCCATTTCTTTCTACAGTAGACCAGTTGCCATCCAAGGCTATAGAACCCAGTTTATCCTGCTATTTACCCATAACTGGGGGAAGAAGAGGATTCATACTTTTCCCAATGGTATTAGCATATAAGTGAATGTAATGGATCCGACTAGAATTCAAACTTGGCTCTCTGATTCCTCAATCAGCCACTATCCATTACTCTACCGTGCCTAAGTCCCTTAAATATTTTCTGTTTTACATTTTTTTTTTTTTTAAATAAATTTTAATTACTTCAGTTTTTAAAGTGTTTCTTTCTAGGTAAACTGACATCTGATTGTTCAAAGAAGACTTCAAAAATAACTTGTAACTTGAAAATGGGCAAAATTTGACATCATAGTATTATCAAGTACTGACAGGAAAAAAGGGTTTAGCCCCCAAGAACATGCATGCTGACATGGTTACTACATTAGGGGATGGTACTCCAGTTTTATCAACAGTGCAAAAGTGGGCAGCTGAATTTAGGAGGAGAGGGAGAGTCTTGAAGATGACCCAAGATTTGGATGTCCTGTAACTCCCACCACTGAGGAAAATATTGATCATGTTCACCACATGGTGATGGATGACAGTTGATTAATCAAATAACCAATATTATTAGCTAGTTTCCTTGAACATTTCCTAACCCAGGATGAGGGGGTGGGGGTCTTCTTTCATCAGGACAATGCTCCAGCAAACAATTCCTTAGTTTTAATAGCTGCTCTGTATGACTGTGGTTTCGAACTGGTTGATCACTCTCCCTATTCTCCTAATTTGGCTCCATCTGACTATTATTTATTCTTCAAAATGAAAAAAAAAAACTGTTGACTGGGAACCAGTATCACATTAGTGATGATTTCATATCTGCTATAGATGACTTTTTTGACCTACAAGAGGAAAGCTTCTTCACCAATGTGATCCTAGCACTACAACACTGATGGACCTCATATGGTCACATTCCATAAGAATATCTTAGTCAGCCTATGAATTTTTCAGCTGATCCTCATATTTTGAATATCCTTATATTATCATCATCATCATTAATGTCATTATTATATCCTCTTTCCAGGAAAACCCTACCTTGGTAAACCAAGTGACATGTGGGCTCTCGGTGTAGTTTTGTTCACCATGATTTATGGTCAGTTCCCATTCTATGACAGTGCACCACAAGAATTATTCCGAAAAATCAAAGTAGCTGAATACAGTATTCCACCGTAAGAATACATTTTTTACAACCTATAAGCTTCAACATTTTAGTATGACATGTACACTACAGTTCAAAATTTTTAGGCCACCCCTGTTAATTTTTTAAATTTGCCCAAAAAGTAGTTGTTTTGTACTTTAAATAAGAGAAAATTATTATACATGGTTAAAAGAAATGTGAGACGTGATTTTTTTATTAGAAATTCTATGACAAAAAGAAAAAAAGCGTTTTATAATTTTGCTCTCATTAAAATATCCTTCTTTAGCCTTGATTACTGCAGCACAAATTTTTGGCATTCATTGCAAAAGTTTCTTGAAGTATAAGTTTGATAATAATTCCATTCTTTTTTCAATTACTCTAAGAGCTCTTTTTCAATTTTTTGGATGGAAAGGTTTTACTCTACTGTCAAGTTCATACCATGCTAATTCTGGGTGTGGCTTCAAACTTTTGGGCTGTAGTGTATGTTTGAAAATGTTATAATAGCTGTTCCCAAGAAACTGTCATTTGAATTGTATAATTTAACGTGAATAACTGGAGTGAGACATGTAAAACTGCTTTGGTTTTTTTGTGAAAGCCTTTTGGAATGCATAGAATTATTATTTTAATTGTTCAAGTTTTTCCTGTAGCTGAAATTGGTCATGTAAGAAAATTTGGAGCGATTGTGACTTGTTCAGGATAAACTCAGATTTACCTGACAATCTTCAAGATGTAAGCGATCATAGCTCTCCACAACTTTTCTATCTTTTGTAGCTTTTAGTAAGATTTTTTTTCAAACCATTTTTTTTTTTTTTTCATCTGTGTGAAGATTGTCCAGTATTCACTGCCATATAGGACTGATATTACATAACAGTTCAGCACTGTTTTTGACAAAATTTTCTGTATACTTAGCTTTAGCTTTTGGAGGGCATCTTTCACTATATCACTGCACCTCTTGGATTTCAGAGTTACATTTTCTGCCCCCCTCTTAAAACGCTCCCTAGATATTTAAATTTTCATACTTGCTTGATTTTGATATCTCCAATTTGTAGTTCACATGTTACACTGTTCCTCTTACTGACAACCATACATTCTGTCTTCTTACAATTGATGTTTAATTATTTCTTCTTGTGTTTCTTTTCTCATCTTGCAGCTTCCTTTCTGTGTCTGCCATCAACACTGTGTTATCTGCATATCATATGTTTTTAAGATTGCATCCAACAGTAATAAATCTTAGTAGGACTTGTAGTTCTCTCAGGATTGCTGTAAAGGTTGAATAAGTCTGATGAGAAGACACATCCTTGTCTTATGTTCCTTTCTACTTTTGTGTATTAACTGAATTCATTTTCTATCTATATACAGACTATTTGCTCCCAGTATAAGTTCTGAGTTATTCCAGTATATTTCACAAATAAATTAAGATTAACTAGCAATTCAAATAGTTCTTTGTGCTGTATCCTATCAAGCATGTTTGCATAATGAAAACATGAGTATACATCTTTTTGTATTTTTATTGCTCTTTAAGAATAATCAAAATGCTTATGGATATGAGAAAGACAAAGAGGAGAAACAAAAAAACAAATTGACTACATAATGATCAATAAGATTCAGAAATGCAGTTTTATACTATAAAACATATCTCCACATCAAGTGTGGGAGCAACCACCTTCTAGTAATAGGTAATCTCAAAATAAATATGGAAATTAAAGAAAGTCAAAGCAGCATCCAAATTATCTGGCAATGCTTGTATATAATTCTTTTCTGCCTAGTTTTGTGACTATTTTGTAATTCCAATTTGACTTTTATATTTATTCTGTTTGATTTAGTGATACACAAGTGTCTGAAAATACCATCAGAGTTATAAGAGAATTGCTCATTCTTGATCCTAAAACCAGACTCACTGCTTCACAAGTTCTCAGTTCATTAGCCACCATCATTGGACAGTGGTAAGTTGTTGACATTTCCCATCCTCGTGATGCCTTACACTTTTTTTTCTTTTTATTTGGCCTCCTGCTTTAATCAAAATTTGTGCTCTTTCTCCTGTAGCAAAACTTGTCTGATAAGATTCAATATCTGCTGATTTTTTTCTTTTTTTTTACCTTGATGTCTTTAAACCAATCTTTTGTTTTCACAATTATTCTCAAACATTACTGGTCACTTGATTGTCATTTATTATAATAGAACTGACCTTTTGCAGACAATAAAGTATGACTAACAACAAAATTTTGCTTTGATGTGCAGTAAAGAAATCAATCTGAAGCTTTATTTTAATCTTTTTCAGTTAAGAGATATTCAGTTGTTAATTGAGTCAGATCATTTCCATGAATAAAAAACTGTTATAATGACCAAAAATGCATTATATTAAATCAAACATTTTTGAATACTTGAAATAATGTATCATTTCAGCAAAAAATATGTATTTATAACATTTTATTTTAACATTTGCTCCAAATATAAAATTGAAATAAATATAAATTTATTTAATAAACTAAAGTGTGAATGAATTTTTGAGACACCATATATATATATATATATATATATATATATATATATATATATATATATATGTGTGTATGATACACCTAATTTACATAAGCGGACTACCGACCATATAAATATGGGTTGGTACCGGAAGACGGGGAAGATAGTAGAGATTAAGAAATTGAATCCAGAGACTCTGCCCGACTCGATTTAGTCAACCCATTATGCAAGAACAGTCTTCCCAAGAATATACCAAACTAACTGTAAATATTGTGTACCTATTCTTTGTTTCAATACATTTTGTTAACGTACATTTTGTGTTGTATTATTCCATGCTTATTTAAGCTTCAACATATAGTCAATGACAAAATTATTTGTACATCCATCAATTTTGAATATTTTTATCCATTTCTCAGAAACTAATGTCCATATGATGCCAGGTTTTTTTATATGTTAATAAGCACAAGAAAAGGCTTAAAATGATAAATGAACCAATTTATAAAAACATTAACTTGATATCAATTAAATAATAGAAAAAATATTTAAATGTCATCAAAAAAATTTACAACAAAGTAATCCACTTTTTTTTTTTTTTTTTTTTTTTAAACTGTGCATTAGGCGGGCCAAATCCAGCCGAAATCTTCCATTCCAAACTGTTCCTGACATTGATGATGAAATCCCAAAGCCAGAATGGGAACCAAATCCCTGGCAAGTTGCTACAACACAAGTTCCTCAAAGACCAGTTCAGACACCAACCCCTGAGCAGAGTGAAGTGGATAACATCAGCGATGCCTTTATTGCTTTCTGATGCTACTTTCATTTTATTCTCCAGATCTTAAACAAGTTAATTGATCTCTCAGTAATTTTCTTTCATTATGCCTTCATTGGCTTTGATGGCTGTCATAAATTTTCATCAGCACATAAAACAAATTAGTAAAATTTATAGAATTTATCACAGTCAATGTAACAGAAAAAAGTTGGGTGTCATTGGAGCAGGTAACACTTTTTATATTGAAAATTTATGGATTAACTCTTTTTTTTTTTTTTTTTTTTTTTGTTTCAATTTGACTTTTAGATACTTTGGAAATTTCTAGTTTTATAAATATTTTGGGAATTGATTTCCTACATATAGAGTATTTTTCTCATTTCCAACAAAAATATGGTCCCATCTACTTTGATTTGTCACACAGAAATAGAAATTTACCTTAATATTTTTCAATGACTTTTAAGCAAACCCTAAAATGTTCAACATATTGAAAATATTGGAAAGTTATAATGTGTGCTAAGTTCCATAAGTGAAATTTAATATAATTAAGTCAAATTTTAACAAAATACAATCATGATTTAAGCTAATTTTTTTTTCTTTGTGGAAATCAAGTTATTTTATACTAAAAATTTTTCCTTTCTGATTTTCAGTCATAATTTTATCATTTAAGTATGTTAAATATTCTAATGTATTTTATAAGCTCCAAGTTAGATTCACACAAAGTTAATATCCTTACTGCTACATTGTGTCAAAACACATTGAATACCATGTCCAATCAACTTGGCATTCTCAGATGAAAATGAAGCTTCTTTCTCTCAGGTTGAAAGAAACTTTAAAGGAAAATGTCTTTAAATATTATTGAAACTGAAAGGATTTCAGTAGAAATGTGATTTTAGATTCTCTTCTTTTATAGAATATTTTTCCTAACAAAGTAACAAGACAACACTTGACCTATTTTTATAATAAACTTGATTTGCTATGAATGTCTTAAATATTGTTTTGAGGTTTGGATTAATTGATTGTTACTTTGGTGATGTAAGTTTAACTGACATTCAAGACCACCTACCATTTTTTTTTTTTTTGTTGGCATTTACTCAGTGAATTATTTTTACTTGCTTTTTAAATACTTAAAGCAGAATTAACTGTATCTATCATTATCAGTAAGTTGGAATTAAAATTACTTGGTATTAGATGTTCCCTCTGCCCCAAGTTCTTCATTGGGGAAATCTTATTAGCTGTGACATTCATGAATTTGGGTGGAGTACAAAAACAAATTGAATGTTAGGATTTATGTGAAAGGCAGGGAAATATTAGACTATTATTATCATCTGACATGAACTGGCTATTATTGATATTTGTAAATTGCCATTACTATTGAAAGTTGCAGTTGTGAATATACCCAAAAGGTTAATTTTATTGATAGCACAAAATGATGCTTGGTGTTTCAATTTGCCATAAAATAAACCAAATATATCAAAATGTTCACTGTCCAAACCGGTTTGATATTTTAATATAAAAATAATGGAATCAAAAATTGCATCATTAGAATATTCTGATCTGAAGATATTTGTACTGAGAAGATCATTATATACCATAAATAAAATTAAAACGTTTTATATGATCAAATGTCACTATATTCTGTGTGTGTGTTTGTGTGTGGACAATGGAATTTGATGTCATTAAAAATTAATAAAATGGATTGACAGGCAGGATTAAGTTGAAAACTTTCTATTTAAGTGATTTATTTCTATATTTCAATAACTCACAGCATCAACAATTTGAATTTAATTTAATATCTTTCCTGTATACTTTTCCTATTTTCTTTAATTTAAAAACTGAATGAATCTACAGTACAGTGTGCGATGGGTAAATCGTCACCATTTTATATTTTTAATTTTGCGCATTTTGTTTTTGACTTTGTCAACTGCAGAGTATAGTAAGGTCAGTTGGGCACCATCTGTGAGAAAAAGACCACCATGACACACTTCACTCCACCAGAAATTTAGAAACAGCATGTTGTACTACTCAACATATGCACTGAAAGCTCCAATACGAACGTTTCAGAGTGTTTAGGTGTCAATTTGTGAACAATGCAGGGGATTTGGAAAGAGTTGGATGTGTCTAATGGTGAGTATGAAGGTATAGCAACTCAGAAAACTCACTCTGATTGTTCTGATAAGAAAAGAACTCCCAAATTTGTTAGTGAGGGCCTTAGACACAAAACAGAGGCCTACATTAAGTGCCTTGAGGGGGTTGTGCTGTCCTGAGTTAAGAGGGTGGCTGCTGGAAGACCCTATGTCTGACAACAGGACTCTGCACCATGCCATACAAGCTGGAGAACCCAGTCATGGATGTCAGATAACTTCTGTGACCACATCACCCCTTACATGTGGCCACCTAACTCCTCAGACTGCAACCCCTTGATTATTATGTGTGGGACGCAGTTGAGTGAAAGACCAACAAAACTCCTTGTAACACCAAAGATGAACTGAAGGCAAGGATTATGTCAGAATTCATCAACTTAAACAAGGAGACCATCCAGAAGAGTTGCAGGAGATTCCAAAGTCGTCTGGAGGCTGTGGTTGAGGCCAATGGCGATTTTATTGAATAAATTTACTCTTTAGTATTTCAAGATAGTTTTGTGTAATTTTGGTAAAAATATCTGTTAAAATGAGATGTCAATGTTATTTTTGTGTAATTTCGACATTTTTCCATCGCACCCTATATACATTTTAACAATTTTTTTTTTTTAACTAATATGTCTGGGAGTTAATAAAAAGCAACAGAAATTAAAGTAATATTGGTAAAAAAATGAATAACAATTTCAAAATCTATTACATCTTATACTATGAAGGTACATATATTTTTGTAAGAAAAGTTAAGATCTTAAAATCTCTGTAAATTTATACTTTGAAAGTATATTTTCTGAGTTCAACATGGTGAATCAGTTATCAAAGATTCTTTGACTCCATTTCCTACTGACTGGAAAATTAACATTCTGTCTGGTTGATTTCTTATCTGGGAACTAAATATAGTAATTCTCAAGATTATTTTAGACATGAAAAAATTAGCATTGTTAATGTCAAGTAATTGTAGTTCAGTTGGTGTCATTTGAAAAATTTCAGCAATTATCCAATGGTTCCTCATTTTTTCTAGGTAAAAGATAAAAATGTCCCGCCTGCCATGATTTTAAAATTGGAAGTTTTTTTTTGTTTTTTTTTTTTAAATGAAACCCGTTGATAAACTTCATTTAACTGAGACTGAACCAAGAGACATTAAGATTTTTAATGATTTACTGATTCTCATTAATTTATTTTTGTTTTGTTTTAAATTTATCCTTTTTACATTGTCTAATTCTTAATAAAGATTTATAAAAAGTAGATTATAAATGAGATTTATGCTACTTTTCTAAAATAGCAGGACTGATTCAAATAATTCTGGATTTTCTTGATATCTACAGGCCACTTTTTTTTCTTTTAAATGGAATTTAATACTTTGTATAATTTTACAGTAAGGTTGTCTTTATTCTTACTCCAAACATTTTGAGAATTTCTAGGCTTTCTTAGTTGTTAAGGAACTTCTCATCTATTGCTTATTTTAGATTTGTGAAATTTTCTCAGTTTCTTTTAACAGACTGCCAAATGAACACTTGAGCCTAATTCCTAATTAAAGTGCTATATAAGTCTACAGCCACTTACTCATAGATGTGCTGTGGCTTCCCTCTGTCCTTTCTACAAGTATTTTCATGGCAACTGCTCTGACGAGCTACTTTCACTGGTCCCCAAACTGCATGAATTTAAGTGTGCTACTAGGTTGGCATCTCGGTCCCACCCTTTCACTGTCAAAATGGCTAAATGTAGCCATCTCTTCTACTCTAACAGCTTCTTATCTCACACTTCTGGACAGTGGAACATCCTTCTTCTTACTTACTTCCCTGATTGCTATAATCTTCAAATATCCAAATGTAATATCAATCAACATCTTCTGATGCCTTGAACTTATCCCCCTCCCATCCTTCTCTTTATCCTTTCTTCAAACACCCCTCTTTACTCTTGCTCTCACTTTCTGTAACCCCTTGTATACTAGTGGCACTCCTGCCTTGCTTGGAGTGATATGCTTAAAAAGAATATTTTAATACTTTGGTATTCTATTCATTCACTTTAATTTTATTTTGGGTCACTTAACTAATGACTAGGTCACTATTCATGGTTGCATAGATGAGTAGTTAGAATGTTAGCGTTCTGAACATTAGTGTTTGAATAAACCCATGATCAATTTGTCAAAGAGGAGGCTTAATATCATTCTGCAGAGATAATCCTGGCATGCAGAACTGTTAGAAGTGATTGAAAACCCCCCACCATAAATTGACCCAATTATTGTGAATGAAGTTGGGTAGATGAAACTATTGATAGTTGTGCTACTACAACACCACCAGTCATCATGGCTGAGAGATTGAGCATATTGGCCTTGTTCAACAACTGATTGCACCAGATTATTAGAACGTTCACATTCTGACCATAAGACCCGGGTTTGAATCTCACCATGGTTGATTTATCAGCAAGGAGACTTCTTGATGTTATCGGACTGGAAGGGTCTATCCCAGCATGCAGCACCTTTGGAAAGTGTCTGAAAACCATACCATGGGTTGACCTAAGCTTTGTGAGTGAAATTGGGTAGACAGAACCCTTGGGGGCCATCGATAGCTGTGTTAGTCAGAAGTCGTAGTTGAGGGCTTGAGCGTGCTGGCAATGTTCAGATAGTTGATCATGCTAGATAACATGCTCTTTCCCAGAAACTAACTGAAGCCCACTCCGTATAGTTGGAGTAGAAACCATAGGTGGGCTCTGTGGGTGTTGAACAAATATAAATGTGCCTGGGCAAGTGTCTGCAACAAGGATTAGCTATCCACCCTAGCAGATGAGGATGCTTGGAAGCAAGCAACCAGCTATTATATATTAAGTCATTATACATTTGATATTTCATTTGTGATACTTTAAAAACTAACTGATTATAATTGTCAACCTGACATCATTCACTGAAAA